AATATGACTGAAAAATTTCATTTTTTTTGTAAAAGGTGGTGTCTATTTACTTGTGACCACGCTGTGTATATCCCTTTTGGCTCAGACTAACATAATTACAGTGATTTGTTAGTCTGGGCTAAAGTAGGGATATATTTTTTACTTTTTTGATTTTTAAGTAACTCAGTTTTTGTACTTTTGACTTTCTTGGTTTAATACTTTTTTGTTTCATTAAAACCTTCTATGTTACTATAGCTAGCTAGGTTACATATATATCGATCCCTACTTTGACTTTATAAAATTAAATTTTGTATCATACTTGTATATTTATATATGTAATATATGTGTATCATGCATACCCTTTGTAGTTGGCCCCCCGGTGGAACAGCGGTAAGACTACTGACTTACAACGCTAAAATCCGGGGTTCGATTCTGTAGACATAACAAATAGCCTAATGTGGCTTGTTTTATAAAATAAACAAACCTTTATAGCTCAATCTCAAACTATTCAAGTTACATCAAGATTGATGTGGAAAAATTATCTGCAATTTACGTGATTTTTATTACAAATTTTAAACCTATTGGTTTTTGATGCTTCGCTATCTTTCGGCGTTTAAACTGCCACTTTTTAAGTGGTAGATTTTTTGTTATTAACTTTCGAAAAATGAACTGGAGTATATTATATATATATATTTGTTTAAATAAGTTTTAGTCGGGTCTGACTTAAGAAATAAAAATCAAATCAAATCATAAATAATTTAATTGTACAATTTGACTGGCGTAATAGTTGTGAGGGAAGATGGAGTAAAATTACCACTTCACATTAAAATAGTGAGCATATGGTGATACCTTTGTTATAAAATATATTCTTGTCATATTCATTTTATTCGTTATTTTTACTAACTGTAGTGTTGTTCAAGAAGATGCATTTTTTAATCAAAAGTTTCTAATTACTTCAAATATATATAACATCATTTTGTTAATATTAACATTTGACATACCTCACTCTTTAATAGACTGAGTCCTGCTTACTCTAGTAACGTTTAACGACATTTGTCGTTTCGCTGAAGTATCGTCGATAACGTTGATTTGGATCCCAAACTCAATAACACACATACCACACGCGTACGTAAAGCTAACTACCCTTTTTATCTCCAATGACTGGAATGAATTAACCGTTTAATAGTCTCAAATATCTTACCTCCTCCTTCGGTGCGGGTAGACAAGACATTGCTGGGATTCCCTTCGCCCTCCATCCCAATTGCAACTAACTGAATAAAATATCTTGTTCCACAGCTCAAATTGTTTAAGGTAAAACTGGTAGCCGAAGGTGGAATCTTCTGTATTTCCCACTGACCAAAGTCCCTCTTGTACCGCAACAGATACTCTAAAAATATATATTGTGTGTGTTTGATAAAATTGAAAGGGTTTTTCAAAGATTACTCTTAAACTTGGTAAAATTATTAGTAGCTTTTTATAAAGAACGACTGTAAAAAGTGAGATTTTTAGATATACATGTTTATATACTAAATATTTCAGACACCTTACCTTACACTTACTGCGCCATTATTGGTCAATTCTGTGAAGATCGTCAACATGCATTATAAATATGGATGTTAATCTGTTAGAAATTAGCTGTTTGTATCAACATATATTAAAAAAAATAGAATTTAACTTTAGTGTTTTCTGTTGAGTTTGTAATGAAAAACAGAGTTTAACGTTTTTCAGTTTGTAATGAAAATAAAATTTAACATTACTTTCTTCATATTGATATTGAAATTAGTATTTAAAAGGAGCATATATCTCTGGGAATTATAAGGCATTTACTTTCTCATATATTTTATCAAGTTTGAATTAGATAACATTAGACTCATCCGTTGAGTTTATAATGAAAATAGAATCTAACGTTAGTGTCGTCCGTTATGGTTATAATGAAAACAGAATCTAATATTAGTATCATCAAGTTTCATTGGTGATAGTATCCAGGGTCACTGATGAGGAGTGGAATTCTCCGAAACTAGGCTGG